TCCTGGGTCGTTTGTTTTGCAGTGATCTTTTTTCCATTAGCCTCTCGTGTTTTAACAGCTTGGATAATGGATTGTGTAATGACCTTGTGAGATTTATTGCTGTGGTATCCTTGGTCTTGGGCTGTGATATCCTGGATCATTTGCTGTGTTGCAACTTCTTGAGTTCTTGTGGTGTAATTTCCTGAGTTTTCTGATGTGATATCCTGAGCGGGTGGCTTTGAAGTAGCATTCAGACTGGCTTCGAGTTTGGGGTCTGGGTTTGTGTTCTTGGCGTGTGTCAGCTTGTTTGATTTTGGGGTCGGGGGGTGCGAAAGCTGGTGAAGCAGCCGTGGTCTGTTTTCTGGATGGTGGTTGTCCTTCGTTTATAGGATGGGTTTGGGCCTGGGTCTAATGAGGGGGATTGGTGGTGGTGTCCTGTGTTGTTTTGGGTTTGGTGTTGGTTTTCGTGGCTGGGACTTGTTTGTTGGTGAGGGCTAGCTTCCAGATGTCTGGTAGGCAGTAGGTATCGTCCCGTCTATTCATGTTATGGGGGTGTTTCTCTATTTCGATGGCTTCCCTGATTATTCTCTTGCTGGAGTGTTCAGTGTTGGATATTAATTTGCTTCCTTCGAAATTAATTTCATGTCCTGTGGCTTTAAGGTGCTGGAAGAGGGAGGAAGTATTTTCTTCTCTTCTGACTGCATTTTTGTGTTCTGCGATGCGTGCATTTATTCTCCTGTTGGTTTGTCCAATGTATGTGGCTGGGCAATTGTTGCATGGTATTTCATAAACTCCTTGGTTTTCTAGCTGGATCTTGTCTTTGGGGTTTCTTAGGATGTTGGGTATTTTTTGGTCAGTGCCGAAGACTGTCCTGAAATTGTGTTTGTGGAGAATTTTGCTGATTTTGTCTGTGGTGCCTTTGATATAGGGGAGGAGTGTGATACCGTTGTCTTGTTCTGTGTCTTGGTTTTGTATCTCTTTTTGGATTAGATTGGTGATAGTGTTTCTTTGGAATCTGTTGGAAATTAATACGTTAGTGAGGGTGTGTAGTTCTGTTCTCATGTGGTCTTTGAGAACAGAACTACACACCCTCACTAATGTATTAATTTCCAATGGATTCCAAAAACAAAATTCTCCACAATTTTCCAAAATATGTACTATCGTATACTTCACTTTTTTTGAGATCTGTTTATTAAAGATCCCTAATAGAAAGAGGTCTGGTTTAAATTCGATGTATTCTATTATCATTTCCTCCAACCATTTTCTAATTTTCTGCCAATATTTTTGTGCCTCTCTTCAAGCCCACCACATATGGAAGAAAGTTTCCTCCTTTTTTTACATTTCCAGCAATTCGGACTCATGTTGGGGTGCATTTTCGCTAATCTCGAGGGGGGAAGGTGCCATCTGTAAAACATCTGATAGGCATTTTCCTTATAGGCTGCTGATTTTGTGATTTTATTATTTCTACTCCAGACCTTCTCCCATTCTATTAAAGTGATACTACGTCCTATATTCCTATTCCAGGCTATCATATTCCCTTTGACAATTTCTTCCCCCAATTCTGCCTCTACTAAGTAATTATAAAATTTTGTTATATTTTTTTTGTCTGGGCCTAATAGAATTTTGTCTAGTTGCTGAAGTTTATTATTGATTCCAAATTCTTTCTTATCCTGTTTGTATCTATTCTGTACTTGAAGATATGCCCATCTATCAATTTGTACTCCCTGGTCTTGAAGATCTTGCCACAATTTCAAATTTCCTTGTGCATCCAATAAGTCCTTGTATTTAATCATCTTCGTAATATCCAAATTGTTTGGGTGGATCATCGCTTCCATTGTTGAAATCCAGATTGGTATCTTTAAATAATGTTTTCTCCTTATTTTCTTCCAGTTAGTCAATAATGCATCTCTCATTAAGTGTCTGTGAAAGTATTTCTGGGTGGTTTTCCCGATATCCCATAAAAAAGCATGCCACCCCCTCTGTAGGTCGTGGCCTTCTAAAACTAATATTCTCTTGTTTGTTAAGTTCACCTATTCCTTCAACCATACTAAGGATGCCGCACTATAGTACAACTCCCAATTTGGAAGGGCCATCCCTCCCCTGCTCTTCATGTCTTGCATCGCCTTTACATTTATCCTCTGATTTTTCTTTTGCCAAATGAATTTTGTGATTATTTTATTAAGTTCTTCAAAATACTTTTTGTGTACTTTAATTGGTATCATCTGAAATATTTAAATGAATTTTGGAAGAATAGACATTTTAATCATTGCAATCTGCCTAATAGTGAAAGTTGCAGTTTACCCCATGTTTCTAAATCCTTCTTTACCTGTTGCAATAGTTTGTCATAATTATTTTCCTTTAGCGTTTTGCAATGTGCTGTCAGCCATATTCCTAAGTATTTAACTTTCTTTATCACTTGAAATCCCATGACCTTTTCTAATTCTAACTTCTGTTTTCCTGTTAGATTTTTAGTCATTAATTTCATTTTCTTTCTATTAATTTTTAATCCTGCAATTACTCCAAATTGTTCTAACTCGTTCATCAGTTTTTGTCCTCTTTCGATTGGCTCTTCAATAAAAAAAAAATCATATCATCTGTAAACGTTTGCAGCTTATATTCTTCTTTCTTGACCTTTAATCCTTTTATGTCTGGGTTCTGTCTAATATATGTTAGTAATGTTTCCAATGCTAATATGAAGAGAAGGGGTGAGAGTGGGCAATCCTGTCTGACCACTTTCTCTATTTTTTTGGGCGGGTATATTCCCCATTTATCGTAATGTTTGCCTGTTGTGTGCCATAGATAGTGGTTATAGTATTTTCAAATTTGGTGCCTAAATTCATGTTATAAATTCTTTGGATTAAAAATTGCCAATTCAAGTTATTGAAGGCCTTCTGTGCATCTAAAAACATAAAGGCTATTTGTTTCTCTGGGTGGGCTTCATAAAATTCCAGAACATCTAGTACTATTCTTAAATTATTCCTGATTTGTCTGTTTGGGAGAAATCCATTTTGGTCTTGATGTATCAGGTCATTCAGAATTCTTTTTAAGCTGTTTGCAATAATGGAAGCAAATATTTTATAGTCCATATTTAACAATAAAATTGGCCTGTAGTTTTGTATATATCGGGAGTCCAAGTCTTCCTTTGGGATCAGCGAAATCAATGCCCCACCCCCCAATGAGTCCAGCATTCTGGCTGCCAATAGGACATCGTTAAAAACTTCCGCCATAAGGGGGTCCTATTAGTTCTCCTATTGCCTTGTATAATTCCCCTGGGATCCCATCTGGTCCCGGAGATTTACTATTTTTCTGATTCTCTATTGCTGTTTTCAATTCAGACCAAGTAATATCTTTGTTTAATAATTCTTTCATCTCTTCCCCAAGTACTTTATCCTTCATTTTATCTAGAGAGTTTCTTATCCTATCCTCATTGACCTCCTCCTCCTTTTTTTCTTTATAAATCTTCAAAATACTTATGGGCAATTTCTTTTTTCTGTTCTATCCCCTGTTGTGTATCTCAGTTTCCATCTATTAATTGGTAAATCAATCTTTTTTCTTTCCCTTTTTTAAGTCTATAGGACAACCATCTCCCTGGCTTATTAGCGTGCTCAAAATAAGTTTGTCTAGTTTTTATTCATGACATCTTAGCAGCCACTTGGTACAAGGATGTGAGAGCACATCTGGAGAGCATGAAGCTGTTACAGGAAAGTCCTGTGGAAATAGGAAGCTCGAGAAATTCAAAACAATTCTGCCTTTATTGAGTTAGGAGTATGTTGAAATAGAGAGAGGTTTTGGTATATTTTCAGTTTCTGTTGGAATTTTCCTAATTGCACAACAATACTTTTGAAAACTAGCATCCCCTGACCTTGTCTACCTTGAAGGCTGATTGTCTTCCCTATAAAGGTCATTCTCCATGTTCTCAACAGACTTTCAAAATTTCCAATGTGTCCACCAGCCCAAAAGAGATTCAAGATCTTAATGCTAGGCCTTAGAAAATAATGATCAGAAATTCTTGAAATTGTCATCCCAAAGTATCTGAAGGTCACTCGATGGGAACTGCATGGCCTTTGTAGTGTCAGTTTACACCTAGAACAGAAGTACAATGGATCACCAGAAAGGGAGAAGCCAGTGTTGGGAGAAATATCCATCTGGTTCAGTTCCAAGCTGAACAAAGACACTGGAAGCATGGAGGCTGATTGGAAAGATGGTTTAATGATGAAGCAGAACCACATGGTGGTTCTAGTGCAGCTGACCACATGGCGTTGACAGTGGGGGATATTTATATCTTCTCTTGGGCTTTGAACTTCAGCCTCCTGTTCCTGTTGCAAGAATATTTATTCTATTGGCTGTTGTCAGACTTCCATGGGGCCATGTAGGGGTCATGTTTGTCTGAGTTAAGTTTGGTTGACGTTTGCTCGGTGATGTAATGTCTTAGGAGATTGTGCAATGTAGTGAGCTCTGCTGCTAGATTGTAGTGGGTTAATCCTATTATGTCCTGAATGGTCACGTCTTAATCCCATCATCCTGGAGCTGAAGGTCTTTAGTTTTGTAGATAGGCTGGCCCAGTCCTTCTCAATGGGCACCAAATATCTGCTGGGAGCAGGGAGCTGGGACTCTGAGTTTCTGTTCCCCTTAAGATTATTATTTCTCTTTTAGGGAAAATATTTTATCCTGCCTTTTTAAATATTTCTCAAAATAGTTCAATGTTCTAGGAGAGGGGGTGGGTGCTAACTTTCTACACCAGGTTGGACTCTGCAAACCTCCCATATCAAATTCTTTTGAGGGCTGGAAATAGGCTCTAAAGCTGATCATGAACCAGTCTCAATTATTTGCCTTGCAATGGCTCCTTTCTGAGCTGCACTGACAACATTAGACGTGCCACTATTTTATAGTTGGTGGGAGGAAAATAAGCACAGTGCTTCTACAGATTTTTTTCTAGAAACCAAATATGACCCAAGCCTTATGATACCTTTTAGGTCTGACTACTGGAATATTTATGGTAAACAGAATGTATAAATACTTACCGTAAACATAAATTACTTCCCTGGTGTAGGTTTGATTAAAGTCTCCATAATTAACTAAACACGACAGTGGAAGTGTCCATTCAGTCACACTGGCTATATACAGATTAATCCAACCATGTCCCTTCTTGAGCACAAACGGAAGAGCCACTTCCCATCTCAGTTCAGTATAGTTGCTACATGAAACTGTGCATGTCAAATTCAAAGAAGCCCCAAACATCACAGCATTTACTTTGGGATGGATACTGACTTCACATGAGCGCACTAGAAAAAAAAAAGAACAGGATGCAGAGAAAAGGTTACAAAAAGGTCTGCAGTTCCAAAAGTATGTGAAGCATGGTTCTGATTCTGAAAAGATACTTCAATGAAAATTAAACAAGCATTGTGCCCTACTTACCAATGATTTGTTCAGCAGGGAGGAGGAGGAGGAGGAGGAGAAGGAGAAGGAGAAGAAGAAGAAGAAGAAGAAGAAGAAGAAGAAGAAGAAGAAGAAG